CCTTGACGATTCCCTAACCACTGTTGTAGATGACGTGTCATGACGACAGGAGTTTGCCATATTTAATTTAATTTAGAAGGATAAACTATGTTTTTTTTTTACATTTGTTTCTATTTAGTTTTTTTCTAAATATTTGAAATATAACATTTCTTGATATCCTTTCTGTTAATACATGAATCTGTACCACATGACCAGTGTAATGAAAGTGAGAAAAGCTGATGCATATTGAGAATTAGTGGCTCAAATGCACATAATCATATAAAGTTCTCTAAACATTTACACACACACCTTTAGCTTAACAGCACAGTTCCAGAGACACACTGAAACATTTTCTTACACTTTAACATACATTTACCTAAAAAAAAAATCAAGTGACCATTTGCAAAGTTTATTTGAAATAATATTTGATTACAGTCGAAGCAGTAAATGTTGCCATTTGCTGGAGATTTGCAAAGGGATTCTGCTGCTCCGACTGTCATGATAAATCCACAAACAGACTAACGAGGACGCCTGCAGAGATACAAAAGAAGTCGTAAAAACCGCTGCGGCTTTCCTATTTCTCTGCAACATGTTAAAGAACACCAGGAAAATTTTCGGTGTCAGTGCGTTCATGTCTGTGGGGAGATGGAGAGCTTAAAGCTCTCAGCGCATTAGCTGTGTCAGCAGGGGCCCAGGAAGGCGCTGAGAGAAACAGACACATGACGGATAAATGAGTTAAGCAGGTATGAAACAACACAACCATGTAAAAACACTCGTCGTGTGGCCCATTTTCTGCCAGATCCACTTTTAACTAATTTTCACTACTGGAAAATAATTACTTGTTGCTAAGAGATGGGTCCTTTTAGGCAAGACTGGGCCTATTCAGTGTAAGTAAGGGTTAAAGCCTACACACATAGCAGCAGCAGTGGTGGCTGGTGTTAATATAGGGATGTACAGATGGTAGTGTTGCTCTGTCCACCACAATAAAATACACTGTATCAACAACTGAAGTGAACTGGTACAAAATCAAATCCGGATATTTCACCACAAGGTGACGTGTGGTGAAAAGTCTCAACAACTGTTAGATGGATTGTCATGAAATTTGTTTCAGACATTCATGTCCCCCTCAGGATGAATTGTAATAAATTTGGTAATCTTGACTTTTGCTCAGGTTTTCCATCAGGTCAAAATTTTAATCTACTTTGGTTTATGATCAAATACCTGCAAAACTAATGACATTCCTATCAGCCTCGGATGTACTTTGAGTTTATGGCTCAAAGCGTCAGCGTGCCTATAAATACAGCCTCACAGAGCCACTGGCTGCAGACTCTTATCTCATCACTGTTTACAGTTGAGATTGTACATGATAGAAATTCTGTTTGTTGGTTCCTTATTCCTTAAGAAATAAGACCACAATTAGCAAAAATAGTGGCACTCTTATCAGATTATTACTCTCGAAACTGTGTGTGGATATAAATCATGGGTCGGCTGGAAAACATTTTTGGCCATGCTTCCTTCACATTTAGCAGTTTGCAGTAGCCAGTTAGGAAAAATCCATGTTCAAAACATCAGTACTAATAATGCTATTTAAAAAATATTGATTGCCTCAAATTCCAGTAATATGTTCATTTTTAATGCCATTTGTTCACTATGACTGTGATCTACATGTGCTGATGTTTTTCTTCACCCTGTGATCAGATTCTCAGAATGCTTACGGGGCTTCTCTTCAGTGTCATTCTCCCCCCCCCCCCCCCACCAGCCAGTCAAATCAAATTGAGAAGTTGGGGAGTAAAGGACCTGATGCTGCAGCGATTATGAGCAAGGAGAGAAAAATGATGCAGCCTTGGTCTGTCTCCTCATCCTGCTCCGTCTCCTTCCTTCCGTCTTGGCTCTAATTCACTTAGTTGGCTCTTCCTGAGCCTACAGCCTTTCCTTTATTCCATTATAAAGACCCACCGTACAACCTGCTGCTTACAGTATTTCATTAAAAAGGCCCAATCCATGACCCCACATCTAATCCCTAATGCACATTACAGCCTAGCACGGTCTGCTATAATCCATGTCACAGTCCAGCAGGGCAGCTGACAGATGAGACATGGAGAACAGGCATGGAGAAGAGGAGGTCCAATGAATGAGGGCAAATTTGAGCGCGCCGCTTATGAGCGAAGCCTCCCGGTGAATGTGATTTCACTGATGTAAATGATGATAGAGCTGAGGCTTTGCTACTCTGTCTTTGATGGCTGGAGATGGCTTTCACATGGGCCATCAGTGATATGGAAATAGTCACATCTAAGGGTTGAATATAGGCTGTAAAATGAGCATAAAGCCCAAGGCTTTCAAAACCCAAAACACCTTGGCTTAGAGTTTGTATTGTAGTCAGTACTGTAGCTCATTACAGTTAACCTTGGGAGAACTTTGCATCACAAAGTGAGTGACTCTATCCCGTCTGACTTTGCTTTCTACTCCTGCTGTCTGTGACCTTCTCTCTCTGGCCACTTCAGAATCTTCGCTCCATCTCTGGCTGCCCTCTACCCTAAACACATGACTTGCTCAAGATCCCATTTGCTAAGCGTTTTCATCATGCCTACAGATCTAAATTTGCAGCCTCCCATCTAACCTATCTTGCCACAGTTTGCACTTTAATGGCCTATTAGGTTTCGTATTTATTGATAAAGCAGCACTATGAAGCCCTGAGTACCTGGCTTCCCGCATACCTGCGCCAGCTCTTTAGAAGCCTGTCACTCTGACAATGCAGCGTCAGTTAAGAGAGACACATCCCATAGAAGTAACATCTTACAGTGCCTGATGGGAAATGGCCCTGTTTTACTGTCAAATCAGTAAGAACAGTTGACTAATAATAATAATTACTTGTACCTGGATTCAGAGCCACAACTAGAGATATGGGGACACACGATACAGCCAGGAAGTGACTACAACTCTCTCTCCATCGATAACATTGGCGTATCTCATTACTGTGGCGACCTGCGGTACAGTGCCACTTGCTCTTGATCATATAAATCCCATCTCTGTGCGCTGTCCCCTTTGGAGCACCAGTGGAGTGGAATATTCATTATTCAAATTTTAAGCAATGGAAATCCTAATATGTTGGCAAGGCCAGATGAGATGAGATAAAATAGCTTAGCCTTTTGTCCAGGGAACATTGACTAATCGTCTCGCTCCCCCAAATCAATTTCCCAGCCGTAAGCATCAGACACTCCTGATTCTACTGTACTGTTGAGGACCCCCCACCACTATCACCTAATCCTCCTGCTGGCTGCCCAGAATAACTTATTGATTAGTGATTATGTTACGGGAGGTGTGGGAGGCCAGGGCGGAAGATGGACCGGCCTCAGTCATCTCCACAGGGCTAAATTTGGATCCTCTGCAGATCCAGCACATACTGTACTGACACTATCACCAGCTGCCACCAGTCATAAGCCACCAGCTCTGCTCTCTGGATGAGGAGAGAAATGTTTTCTAGAAGTATAGATATGAAGAGATGCTTTTTTAAGGGCTTAGAGCGGTGTTTCAAGCAAAGCAGGACAGTGGGGATTTTGCATCAGATGATAAATTCTTAGATTTGGTGCACTTGTTGACTACTAAATAAAGGGAAAAACCACAAATATTTCAAAACAGGGATGGTTGACTGTTAAATTTGCAGGATTTTTAGTGGAGGCTGTGACATGATGATGGACTGTTTCACACCCAGGATTTGGGCTGATCCCTCCCTCTCCCTCTGACTCTGTGCTGAGCCTGAAAAGTGGCTGTGATCAATACCTGCAGGCCCTTTCCACAGTAACGGGGGGTTGATTGTGTGTGTGTGTGGGTGTGTGTGTCTGTGTGTGTGTGCTGTGTCAGCATTCACACACACACAAAGTGCTTATATTGTTCAATGCCCCACTCAAACAGTTGCTCATATTCAGTTTCCCCATTTCACCCACCACCCATACCGTGCACACACACACACACACACACACCTCCTTTGTGTGTGTCCAGACCATCTCGACAAGGATGTTAAATACCATTCAAATGTCAGCCTGCCATATTGATTGGAATAATAATTCTGAAAGGTAGGAGAGATGGCTTGTTGATGCTAAGCAAGTGTGTGACAGCCCAAGCATCCTTCACTGTCACAAAGTTGCCATGTAAGGGTTCCTGGCTCCTCTTGCTGAAAGTGTATGGTGGTTTACATTAGAACACCGAGGCCGTATGATTCTGTCATTAATCATTGTCCGCACAGGCCAGTGATAGGCAGATCAGGATCCGTGCAGAGAAAGAGAGCCCTCAGATCACAGTGGGTATGTGTGTGTGTGTGTGTGTGTGTGTGTGTGTGTGTGTGTGTGTGTGCGTGCACATGAATGTCACACCAGAGGGTGTGTTCTTTGCCAGGTGGTATACTATAGATGTGTAAGTGATGATAGTAATGATGTGATAAACTTGAGTGAAATGTCTTTTTGTGATTAGGCATAATTTCTTTAATGGGTCATTTCTCCCAGGATGGGACTTTTTTTTTTTACTTACCCATGACGGTATCTACCCTTGCAAATGGTTTGTTTTATCGGTGAAAGTTTTGAGATCTCCATCTGTGAGATTTCAGGCATTGCCGCAAAATAACAGAGGTGAATGGAATTCTATTTGTGGTTTTCAATTAGTTCCTTAGCACTAAAATAAGCATTTAAGAGGGAAGCAATTCACTTTTACTGCTCCTGAAGTGATGTATGGTTGTACGTAGGAAGATTAAGTAAACATAATTATTTAACACAATAATATAACTCGCATATGTAATTTTGTAGTTTCAGGGGGTTGTTTGCCAACATTCCTCATAGATATGCTTCCTAGAGTAAATAAAAAAGTTTATAGGAGTAATTCTATTATATTTTATATACAGTAAAATCTTATTTAGATTATTTTCCACTATTTCCTTACAAATTAATTCTGCTCTTATAGTTAAAAGGTGTGAACATGCATCAGGACAGTTTTTAAAAATATGCATCCCTAATCAAGTTAGCATTGACCCTCACCTGGCAGGTACGTCGATGTTGGAGATGGCATAGAAGTACTTGAGCAGGTTATCTCTCTGGACATAGGTGCCTCCGAGGGCGGGCCTGAGAAGCCTCAACCTAAGGTTGGTGAAGGTGAAGAAGTCCCTCAAGCCCTTCATACTTTCCATGCGAGTGTACAGACTGTCCATGTTCTGTAGCCGAGACCCAGCAAACACAGCAAAGCGTGCCCGCACTTCGAACTTCACATTCTTGTCGTTCTTGGAGCCGACCCAGCGCGAATAATGCTCGGTGCAGATGACTCGTGTAATGTTGGCGGGCGAAAGGTCACGCACACGTTTGGGCTGCATGTTGAAGGCGTCCAGGCAATCATCAGCATAGAACTGGTAGGGCTGCCAGGAGTGGCCGTGGTCCATGGACTTATCCAGTATCATGATTGTAGGACGGCCGTACTCGAAGGTGATCTGGATGTCATCGGTGAGCTCCAGACTCTTGTTCCAGGACATTGTGATGTTGGCCAATAAGGGCTCTGGGTGGCGTCTCCATGTGACTGTCTGCCAATAGGTGATTAGGCCATTGCGTTCACGGTCCTGCATCAGCTGAGGGGGGTGGGCCAAGTCTGGGTTAGAGGCATCACACTCATCACTGCACAGGTATGGATTCTCCTAAAAAAGAAATGAAGACAGCAGTAAGATATCAGTCAGTTGGAGAAGGAGTTAATGGTAGCAGCCTGTAGATAATGATCTTTAACTTAAAAAGATTAGGCGAAAAACCCATATTTCTTTATTAGAGCTTGAATGGTGCATGTTCCCAACCAACGTTGCTATCAATAAAATTACCACAAACTGATTACTACACAGTGAACTTGGGCTCTGTGTTTGCTAGGGCCTTTGCCTGCTGTGTCAGTTTGGTGATCCAGCCTCTCACAGGCTTTGTCAAAACATAATGTAACTAAAAGGTCTCAACTGAGGAAAAAACTAAATGTCTTACAGCAAAAACTGTTTAGTTCAGCTGTTTTAAAAAAGGATTTCTGAGCCATGCAGTAGTTATGGGATCACAATTTGTATTGTCAGTCTCTTTGCTAAACTTTGGTTGTTCCTCTTTTTGTGATCATTGATCTAAAGACGTTTTTCCTGATAACACTCACTAAATATCTATATTGCTTCCTCAGAGGATCTAAATGAGGAGTGCCTCACCAAGGCACTCAGAGACAGACACTTTAAAAGTAAACTTGCCAAACAGCACAACAGGAAGTGTGAAGGTCAAGAGGACAGTGCATGATCACTGTCTTTGCATAGACAGCAGAGTGCCGCCGCACTTTTAACTTCGAAGAATTGATCTTCCTCTTCTAGTGAAGCCAAGACTTTCCAGCCACAGCTTCTCTGCACAACAGGATTATTCACACTGCTCACAGAAAACTACAGGCCACTTTCCACCTGCACTAATAAATGGCTTTCACTCTCTGTTAGATTTCAAGAGTCTCACCGTGCTTTTCTTCCAAGAAGACAAATTCATCCTCTGCTCATTCAGATTCCAACACTTCGATACAAAACCAAACGTCAGGTGACATACCTCTAACTCCAGGAAATTCCATCTATATAGTACTAAAGTGTTTCCCGGTTACATTGTGGTATCAAACATAATTGATGACTGGGTTATGTTCAGAGTCAGAGATTTTTTTTTGATTGAATGAAGCAAAGTGTTCAGAGTGGACGGTGGGAATACAGAGCACCAGACCTGGACCCCAGAGACCAGGTTTTGCATGCACACTTCTGTCTGTACTTTGGTTTAGGCAACAAATCCAATTTGATCACTGTTAGTGAAATCATGGTTTTCTGTCCTAAACACACACACATCATTAAAGAGGCAAATATTTCTACTCCACTACAATTATTTGATTACTTTAGTTACTAGTTACTTTTCAGAAACAGATGAATACAAAAATGACAGTATAATCATAAGAGTTCATTGATCTCTGGTGGAAAATCCACAAGCTACAAAGCAGTAATTCAAATTATAGATATATAAGATGGTAAAAACTAGCTTTACAACCTTTACCAAGTGCAACATAAATGTGATGTACACAATGATGCATCAGTAATTATAACCCAGTAATATACATTAATGTTAAATGTGCTGAAAATCCACAAGCTACAAAGCAGTAATTCAAATTATAGATATATAAGATGGTAAAAACTAGCTTTACAACCTTTACCAAGTGCAACATAAATGTGATGTACACAATGATGCATCAGTAATTATAACCCAGTAATATACATTAATGTTAAATGTGCCATTCTGCATCATGAGTACTTTTGTACGTTTACTTACTGTAGCATTTTAAATGTAAGACCTTTCCTTGTAACAGAGTGCTGTACTAAACATAACCAACATCTAACTTTGGGTGGATAAGAAATGAATTACATTTGACTTATATGTTCAATGCCAACATTTTTGATTCTTGATGTGTGACAATAGTTTCCCTCACCAATGAACTTTCAGATCACTTTCTAAATGCTCAGCTCCCCAGATACCCAGTTCCACAGTTGCTGGCACCTTTTCAGACATATTACTAAAATTGATGTAGCTTATTGTTGTAAGCTAGTTGTCTGACATCCCATCGCTGCAGAAGTTTAATATTATAGTCACAGTCGTTTGTCCTGGTGGTTGATTTGCAAAAATCAGCTTTGACACTGTTTAGATTGTATCAGATGCAGAAAGCTCATCATGCCCCTGGGGATGTCCTAATTAGACTGATAAGGGGTTATTAGTTCCTCTATTATTTAGACGCAGTCATTCCTTGTCAAATGTATCATCATAATGTATAAATATTACATGTAACAAATACATTAACAGTCAAAATGTATTACTTTTCCAAGTATTAACTTTATCATTCACACCCACTGGCTTCTAATCCCCTTAGCTGGCTCTTCCTGAGTTTACAGCCTTTTCCTTCCAGGTATTTTACTGTAGACGTTTGTAGCATTATTCAAAATCCGGCTCCATGCTGGAGCTGTTATTTTCATCTGTGCTCATTGTTATTAACTGATCAGTTAAATATTAGAGAACAGTGTACCCTGAATGCAGTACATAAATTATATTTGGTTAAGGAGAAGCTGCTTGTGAAGTTTCCAACCTCCTTTTTTCTACATTGTAGTAACTGATTAGATTTTACAGCTGTTGTCCTTCTTCTTTTATTCATTGGGATCCAGTAATCTTTTTGAATGTTACTGCATTGTCTTTAACAAGCTTTTGATTGAGCACATAGTATAAATATCTTTCTTTTTTCTTCCACCTCCTCTCCTTCCTCCTCCTCTTTCTTCTTTGTTTTGTTCTCTTATTATTTGTGTTGTTGTGTTTTACTACTTATAATTGTAGTGTTTGAGAATGTGACCTGCTCATTTTTTACTTGAATAATGATTTTGGAGTATTTTTAGATATTTAAATATTATAAAACAAAGGACAAATGACAAGGCGAGAATAAGACACATTTATCAAGCTAATCAGTTGAGTGTAGGTGTAACCTTATCGATCAGCTCTCAGGTGATCACATGTATTGTTTGTTCACAGCAGCGATAGCCAATGAGAGACAAGGATTTACTCTAGATCTGCCATATTGTTTGAATGATATGCTTGTCTGCTAAATCCTATGTGATAGTTCTTTTTTACTTATGTGAAACCTTAATATCTCCAGTTGCAATTCATGTGTGAAACTACCAATATATTTTTTATAATATATAAATGTAATAAATAAACATTAAATAATAAAACACTGGCTCAAATAGAAAAAAAAACAGGATGGGGGAGTAAATTTTGCTGCTGGTAGATGAGACACATTGGAGATCTCGTTGCTAAGATGAATTTAGTATCAGATGAGTTTGGGCAATAAAGATACATGAAAAGTGACTGTGAACAGAATGAAAGGCAGTTTTATTCTTGTTGTTTGCATCCATGATAAATGAAAAACAAACAGAAGAAGAAGTGGTGTAACCTGCTTTTAAATACTCCAATCAAAACTTAAATCTTGGATAAAACTACCCAGTTGAAATACATACAGCATATTTCTTTAGTTAACATGCGATTCATCGTGACTTACTACGTCTTGAATAATCAGTCCAGAAAGTCTCAGGAGTTGTGTATGGCCTCTGGAGCGCTCTTGAACATAAGAATTTTTAAGTTGTAAGAAGTATAATAACTAGATTTTATTCTTAAGTTTGCAAGTGTAAAAAGGTTCATTGTCACTTTAATTTTTAACTTCCAAATTTTTCCTTTATCAGTTTGATAAATACTGTATAAGCCCTGATGATAATACATTTCATTCAATTCACTTCTCCATGACAAAATTACTAAAACATATCTAACACTTAACTTATTTAAATTTTTTTTTAGAGTCTAAAAGATTTTATGCAGATTAATGCTGATGAAATTAACTTGCCAAATTTACTGCCTGTTTAGCCATTAAACACATTATTGCTACGACTAAGAAACTAAAGTAACACTGAGGAGATTCATTTCACAAATGGATGGAACATTAATAGAGGCTATTGCGGCAACTGATTTAAATTCAACACAGCAGAATAAATTTATCATAATGACTAACGCTCATCTTTCGAGTATCAAACGCACACCCCCTGTAGACCTTAAAGTTGGCTGTAACTAGTTTGTACTTTGTCCTTGATGGAAAATGGCAACCGTAGTCAGCAGGAGGCGACGCTTTAACACGCTGCTAACCAACACGCACCTGCTAATGAGCTCAACACAGTCGTGTGATGCAAGTTATGTTTTTATCCATATTTGCGTTACGTTTGTGACATACTGAGCGTACAGATGGTGAGTTAGAGAAGTGAGTTACACTGCAGGATGCATGGATGTTTTGACAATCTACTGGGGTCCACATGAGATGAAGCAGACCAACCATTCGGCCACTACAGCAGGTGGTTGTTCAGTACTCATAAAATTTTGGGTGTGGTGTCACCAAACTGCTACACAAAGTCTTTATGATATAAGCTTCAATGCGAGAGCAGTACTGCATCATATCGATGTACTGTGCAAGCACAGATCATGTGTCACCGCTTCTTTGCAGATGTTCACTATTTCATGTCTGATGCCAAAGAGCAACATCTGCCAACCTTGTGAATAAAGTCATTGGACTGTACCAAGTGAAAGTGAGCAGTCACTCAAACCCACTCGGGTGTGCTAATAACAAAAGCAAAAGTTACAATCCTGTGAGGTGGAGATTATAAATCATCTGATTTATGGTGACAACGCAGAATGGAAAACTCCAAAGATAAGCAAATGTTGAGCCGGTGCTGAGGAAAGCTGTATGGAACAGAAGACGCTATACAGGATCATGTGAAGACACAGCAGTGAAACTACCAAAAACTGCAGATAATGTACCTCTATCCTCACTGGGAATGACACTGCATTGCATTGTTCTCTGTCTGATAACCCAATTATCCCCCATGCACTGACTCAGTTAGAGATCACTGTCTACACAAACACACTTAGGACAATAATCTACAATGCTCATAAACAACTGCAACTGGAAAAGATAAGTAGAATTAGATGAAGGGGGTTATAATAAAAGTGAGTGGCTTCTTTAGTCAGAAGCTGTTCTGTACAGTAGTGGCCCTACTATGTCTGTGCCTTCCATTAGTGCATCCCT